AAATTTCATCCAGCTATTACAGCGGCTTAGCCAAAAAGAAAATCACACAAAACACGACACCTTCCATGAGTTTGAGAATGAAGGCAAGCAGGGCGCCTCCAGCAGGGGGTGGAGGGATGTAGAGGTTAGCATCTCCCAAAGGAACAGTCCAAGCATCTTGGACCTGCACCTGGAATGACCTCAAATCCTCTATAGTCAAGGTCCCACCTGAGACAGACACACAGAACGTATATAACAAACTTTGCCCTAAATTAGATTCAATTTTTTTCACAACACTGAGTAAAAGTCATTTTTCCTTTCCATTTAATTCCTTTTCAAACACAAACCCTCAGGCTGCTAATGCTGACATTGCACCAACCTGCAGCTGTTATGTCTTGGATTAAGTCATGCCCTATCTTGCCAGAGTAGAAATCCTCTGCTCCTTTCTCTGCAATGGTTTCCATGGTTTCTGCAAGTTTGGAAAACTTTACGATGTCGCCTGTGCTCAGAACAGTTTTGTTCTTGTGGCAAAAAATTTCACTGTAAAAAAGAAAAGAAAACACAAACTAAGCAAAAAGGAGAGCAGAGAAAAAGAGACAGAGAGCTGTCAAAACCAAAAACTGATGAAGGGTCAAAGCACTACACCCTATGCATCCTAACAACATTGCACAGCTAAACCGCTTCTGCAAAGAAGAATGGATCAAGATCTGCCCTGTGTGGGATCTGTGGCTATTAGAAATCTTTACTTTAGAACTAACTAACTCTTCTACTTCTTATTTATTACCTAATCCTACCAGGATTATGAATGTTTAAGGTGAGTGTTTTGATATAAAGACGCTGGAAATTTAAAAGAATTACTTCTTAGTCCACTGAGATGAAGTGCTTGTTTGAACTTGTGACAAAGATGGAGAGCATCTAATTTTTGGGCAGACAGAGAAGACGGTTTGTTAGACTCACTGCAGTATAAACTGAAGCCAGGTTGATTAGTGGCACGCTGCATTGATTGAATAGGAAATTAACACAGCGCAGTCACAGTTCAGGGAAATATTCTTCAGTGGAACTGGTAGCTGACAGTTTATCAAGTCCCTTTTAGTTTTTTTTTCTTATGCTCTTAGGTCTCAGAAAATTCAGAATATTAAACTAAATTAAAAAAAACAACAATCCAAGCACAACAGAGGAGCCAGGAAGTTGAGGGAGATTCAGACAAGACCAGACAAAAACTCACTAAATACATAACACAGAATACAGGATTGAAACAAAATTACAGAAACCACACTTTAACTTTAAACAGGAAGTAAACTGAAAGACACAGCACAAAGCTAATAATTAAAAGAAAACAAAAACAAAACTGGATCATAAAGTCGGTGACTCTGTTTGGAAGAACTGATTGCACTTTGGCATTAGAAGCAGCCATTTTCATTCTTGCACCCAAAATGTCCTTTTCACTGGTCTTGATTAGAAAAACATTTTCAGTTTAAAAGCTGATTAGACAAGGCATTTCTAACTCTGAAAAGAGAACTCTAGAAAAATGGCTAATCATATTTGTTACCACATTAGACCTTAAATGCATTAGGAATGCAACATGCTGATCAAATGGCGCTAACGTGAATGCCCTGAAAGCACTGCTGAGGCAGCATATGTCACTGAGACCCAAATCAAAAGAAACTCTGGATAAACAAGACTCGTTATTCACCCTTAACCTAGAGCCGAGTGTGTGCCTCAACCACCCACACGCACAAAATTGTACTCAATCCATCAACCCTCTTACAGATTGAGACACTGACAAACACAAAGATAAACATTCCCTTTCAGCAAACACACCTTCTTAAATGACTGACTCAGCTAAAATCTACCCTGAGGGCAGTGAGTCGAAGCAGGTTTGCCTCTGATCATCTAAGCAGTGCTCCATAATTTTACCTATTAGTTTAAAAGCTTTCTGAGATTACCTTACAGTAGAATTGGGTCACTTGGTGTTTACTACAATTTTTATCTTCAATCTCACAGGAATCCAGATTTGCACCTGACAGTGATGCACTTTTTAAAGATCCAAGTGCAATAGGTTTTCTAATCACCACTTATTTTCCTCTGATTCCCTTCTCTATCGTAAACATTAAAAAACTCTGTTTGTGCACACACTTTTGGCCCGGCATCCAAAAATGAAATGCAATCTTTCAGGTATTCCCCATGATACCTGAGTCCTGGCTGCGTTTCACAAACATTTTTTGGATGAAGGTTAATGCTACCTTTGTCTCTGAGCTGGTAAATCCTGGTCCTGAGTCACGTTAAGAAAAACAATGTGCACTCTTATGTCAGAGATAACAGTGCTTCACTGAGAACAATGAGCATGGTGCCTGGCCTAAAGTATTACGCAATGTGTAAAGTTAAATTCTCTTTGAGATGTTACATAAAACTATCACAAAATTAGTATAACCAGGGATTTACAGGAGAGGCCTTCGCTCCAGGATTTCTGCAGTGACAGCTGCATGAAATAGGCTCCAGCAAGGATTACAAATGCTTTTAGTTCATTGGTGCCATCAAACACATGACTTAAAACACAATTTTTTCTTTGCAAGCATTATTAATTTAAAAAAAAAACAAAAAACTTAAGTCACAGAGGAGTAATTAAAAAGCTGTACCAGAGAGATGATGTTTGTATGTTTGTTTTCACAAAAGACACGATTTCTCCGAGATAGGGTGACAGAGGGATGCCCTCCCTAGCCAGTTTAATTGTTGGTTCAAATAGCCTTGCCCAGGGCAGCTTCCCGTACTGTTTGTGAATTGCCTCATAGCCTCGCAGCTCTCCGGGAACACCGATCCACTGGCTGCCTTCAATGTAAAAATGATAAAAGTAGTGCAGGTAAATTAGACTAATGGTGGAAAACTGTTTGCAAAATATGACAAAATGTTAATTGATGAGGAAGATCTAACCTTACCAGCACAACTAGAGCACTAACAACTTAAGTTACAATCACTGTATAAACAATACATAGTGATTCTAAGTACATAAGTGGATAAAAACAATGCATCTTTTAAAATGAATTAAATGAATTAATTAATTAATTTCTGCAAAGTGAGAAACCACGAGGACAAAATCTGTAACTGGATATTGATAAGTACTTTAAATCTACCTACCTGTGGAAAAACTGAAGGAAGTGGGACACTCCTTTAACAGGTTCTGTCTGAATGACCGTGGGACAGTTTCTCTGAAGTTGTAGACTTTAATGTTGCCTTAAAATAGATCAGAAATCCAATTGGTTGGTCTAATCAATCACTGCTGTGGAGAAATACAATTTATGAAACGCGTGTCAGTAGAGAACTCACCTTTCTTATCTCTTATAGTTATTATAGAGCCCCCTCCAATCCCCATGCTCTGAGGATTGACCACAGATGTGCACAGAAGAGCTGCAATGGCGCCATCTACTGCTGATCCACCCTGCTGAAGCATATTCCTGGAAGGGGGTTTCATTTTATATATGGGAAATGTGTAAACACTCATTGCACACACTCCGACTTACACATGGCTTTAATTATTGAACCTGGTGTTTGAGTACTTGAAGATGCCACAGTACGGTGACGGCTGCCAGTGGGCATGTTCAAACCACATCCTGCTGTTTGAGGTCGACCTCAGGTAACATACCAGGAAGTCGCTGACCATAGTGGTAGTGTTCTTTCTTTCCTTTCTCTCCTTTTTTTTATTTGACTCATAAGGTAACCTGGCACTAAAAAAAGAAATGTAACTCACATTTCTCACTCGGATTATCTAAGTTAGCTGTGACATAAACAACTTAATCCTGACTGGACCGTATTTGAAAAGCCCTGAATGGGCCCTTTCACCAGTAGGTTGGCGTGGGATCAAGTATAGTCACTGAGCTACAAGAGGAAGCAGTGTTGGGAATGTTTTGCTTCTGATGGTCAGTGAATAAGGTCTGACCGAATGAGTGATTATCTTACAAATCTGTGAGCATAAGTAACACAGAGCAGGCAACCAAAGGAGCTTTACAATGAAACATGAGTTGGGAAAAATTTAGGATGTTCACGGGGTGGGGGAGCTTAAAGAATTTTGGAGGTTTGAAAACTCAAACTGAAACTTGATAGCCCATCTGTCCGCAGTGAG